CTAAGGTTTTACAAAAAGTTTAGAAAGCAATTATGTTACCTGTATTTTTCACAAGCCCAGCCCTTTAAAATCTGAAAATGGTGTATACCCCCTAAAGACCACCAGCACATGAAAATTGTGCACTCACAGACACAGATATTAGAGAGCCTCCAATCAAATCAACCGTTCTTCACAGCTCCAATACATAAAAATCCCAAATGCAAAGGGAGAGCCTTTGTATAATCAAGAGGAAAGCCAATAAGGTCAAAAATAGACATAACTTAACAAACGGTTTAAAAAGCATATACTCAACATCACCAATTATAAGGTCACCAATATACCGTGCCTTGGGGGAAGGAGTCCATTTTCGAATAAGTATTGTATCACGTCTAAAGAATAGAGAGAAGAAACAGAAGGGTGAACCATTAAGTAGGTGAACCCTTCTGAAATACAAGTAACCCAAATAAAACGTAACTTTTAATTAGTATAGTGTAAAGAATTGATGTAATAAAAAATAAGAATAAGCAGAGTAAATATAGCTTCTGCTTAGATAGGAGTAAATAAAGCTCCTAGTCCTAAATCAGTTAAGGAAAAAATAAAATAATAAAGAAATGTAACCCTATTACTTGGATAACATAAAAAAAAATAACAGAAATAAATAATAAGAATTCAATCATATCACTCTGTGAGTCAGTGGTAGTAAGAAGTAAGAGGAGATACTGCAAAAAGTAGATACAAAATAACAGCAAATGTAACTGCTAGCAAAAGTAACAAATGTTGCTAGTCTAATAAATAAAGAGGAGGAAAAAAGATAAATGTGGTTTCAAATACTAGCAGAACGGCAAGCCCTGCAAAAGATCGTATATATAGGCAGGAGAGAAAGCTAAAAGACTAGCTTCCCTACTCTGCTGTACCTTCGAGAGCACCCCTTAAAAAATACCAGTAACCACCTCCCCTCCTCTAAGTAGAGTAAATGCAGTATGTTTAGAAATCCCAGAACGAAAACTGGAATAAAGGATAGAAGAAGTACAAATGAAATAAATAAAATAATAAATTGTGTAGAATAAAATAATAAATCTTGTATGGGTGGTATAGTTTGAATATGTTAAAGCATGTCTTCCCTCATTGTAGAAGCCACACCATACAAATAACGTCCCGACCCGCGTTTCGCCGTTAAGGCTCTTCTAGGCTCTTGTTGTTGTTATCAAAAGAATACACCACGTACATAAAACACTTTAGCTTGCTGAATTGTTATGAGTAAAGAGTGTGTTCTCTGTATTTTAATTTACAAAAAAATGCAGATTTCAATGTAAATTGGCTCATTTATAAATTTATTTTGTTACACCCCCTGAGAAAAGGCAGTGTTTACATTACTGCCTAGTAATATCTCGAGAGGCAGTCACTCAGATGGCCACTGGAGGTGCTTCCTGGGTGTTCAGCGTCCCCACGCTCTGCATAGAAGTCTGTAATTGGACAGCCACATAAAGTCTGGCCGAGGTTAGGTAGGGAGGGCTTGCATAGGCCCTAAATCAAAACAATCCTAAATCGAAACATTTCAGTATACAGGTATTATTCTAATACACACAGGTTTTCAAAATTCTGCCTCTCCCAAGTTGTCCCTCGACATAAAAACTTGACATATTTATAGAAAATATAAGAAATATATACTCTAAAAAATGAAGAAAAATAGAAAACAGTTCAAGTCAATTTCTATGTTTGATTTAGTATCTAATTTTATATATATTTTTTTTTATTATTTTTTTTACACATTTTTCCTTATTAGAAGTGTATTTTTCCTATCAATTCTTTTTTTAAATAAAGTAGCTTTTTAAACAAAAGTTTTTTTTGCTTATCAGATACAAATACATCTGCATATGTTACACATGATATTGAGAAATTAAACAAATTCAAGGTTTTCCTAATGTCTGCCTCCTTCAGAGTGGTCTTATTTTGATATCCATGTCCCTATCCTCCACCTTGGTTAGACAAATGATAACATCAGTCTCCTCCTAGAAAACACTTTGTCTTCTTTACAATTAAAGTTGGGTTGCGTCACAACGTGAAACGCATGAAAAAATTTAATTCTCAAATCATGTGACCCGAAAGTAGACGGAACATTGAAGCGCAAATAAGATGGCGCTGGAACGCAGGGTGGCATTCCGAAAAGGTGAAAACCCGTCAATTCCAATCAGCAGTTGGAGGGAAACCTTTGGAAACATTATCCTATCAGGAAGGACCACAGAACCCACACCCACCGAACCACCAATGACTGAAGGGGAATAGCCCTATTTAAAAGGACTGGAGGAGAGAGGAATATTAGGTTGCTATACACTTTATTGTGTTATTGCTTTTATTTTATATGTTATTATTGTCCCTGAAGAAGTCCACAGTAGTGGAAGAAATGCGTTGGACGAGATTTTATACTATAATTGTTATTTTATCCATTTTGTCCGGAATAAATCAATATGAAACTTGGAAAGAATCCTAGTCTTCTGATTTATCCTGAACCGATCTGCAGTAAAAGGAATTCAAAGAAGATATCAGCCCCCCAGCCTATACCTGGGAGGCACCCCAAGGCGCAGTTTATACGGACACACTGGGAGTGCAATCTGTAAAGCGCAATTCTTGCTGTAACAAACTGTATTTCACTATGTTTTGTTTATTTTTTCCTTTGTAGATACTTAGCGTATTCCCAAATATTGTTTGTTTCACGCTGTATAAAAGGGATGATAGCCTAGGGAATATCACCAGGGAAGCTGCATCTACTTAAAAGCTAAGTGTAAATTTACACTATGGTGTGTTTGTGTTAACTTAACATATTTCCCCAGGAGTTGAAGTTTTTCCCCTTTTTCAATCGCCACCAACGATGATAATGGTGAAGAAAAGGTGACTCCATTGTATCCACTTTGTAATACCTACTGTTCTAATATCTAGAATATGGTGTCTCACTTTTGATCTTACAAATGTCAGACTGGGACACTGACAAGCTATGGTATATCTTTTCTAAGCGTCATCTTTTTAAAGGAATTAAACACCTTAACAAAGGAGCAGACAATGGTGGAGGGAGGCACGAGATATCTATGTACAAACGCAAATCATACAATAAGCCATCCTTCCATCTTATATCTCTAAACTCAATATAAATGGGGTTTATGTACTCATATTCTATCATATACCATTAATTAGCATCATGTATCTCATAAAACGGATACATAGCCTAAAAGCAATCTGGCAATTTTAGCAAAACGTATGTTGGACTTCCTCGATGTCTGTATAAAATTGTATTCTCACTTTTTATTTGAGAATCTGGTCTCAAGGTGCCCAAAGCTGACTATTTAAGCTCCCCGGGTCACGTCACTCGATCTTTCTATAGGCTTTCTATAGGCTTATGTAGCTGAGCTAAAAATGACTAGTAATCTCTGATTAGCAGAATATGGCTATTGCTAGCCTTTACTAATCTCAAGGTGTCGTTTTATGGTACATTCAGACTCATTCACAGTTCTTTGAAATTATTGTTCGATGTTTATGTAACAAAGTAAAAATGTTTTTATAAGAACAAATGGTACATTTCTTCAGGATCTGTAAACCAAAAAAAAAAAAAATTCCATGGGTCACAAAATGAAATTATCTGCTTCAATTCCTTGAACAGTTTCTCATTGAAACTCTATGCAGAATTTGATCAGAATTTTTGTTGATGTTTGTAGTCAGCATTTTTACTGAGATCACGAGCTTTCTGAATGAACAGACCGTCACTGGAATATCTCCCAACAACACAAACATATCTGTCCGAGAACAGATCAATACGGTTTACAGTGGTGGATTTTGGTTCTGTAATTGATACAATTAACAAGCTCACACTCAAAATGTGAAAAAAAAAACAATGTTTCGCCTTTAAACAGTGATAAGATCTTCAACAAACACTGATCAGCCACATCATTAAAACCAATGACAGGTGAATTGAATAACATTTATAATATTATAATGGAACCTGTCATGGGGTGCGATCTATTAAGCAGCAAGTGAACAGTCAGATTCCTGATTTTCATGTGTGCAAATGGCAAGATTATATGGGGTCTGCTCCTTCCTTTGCTAAAAAAAGGTTGTCATCTATGGGCTGATCATTTTTTTTTTTTTTACTAGTAACGATTTATTTAACCCCTTAGTGACCAGACCACTTTTCAATTTTCTTACCGTTAAGGGCCAGGGCTGTTTTAACATTTCTGCTGTGTTTGTGTTTAGCTGTAATTTTCCTCTTACTCATTTACTGTACCCACACATATTATATGCCGTTTTTCTCGCCATTAAATGGTCATTCTAAAAATACCATTATTTTCATCATATCAGTTACTATAAAAACCATTCTAAAATATGATGAAAAATGTTAAACACACAAAATCTGTTACACATTTACAACCGCCAAAAAACACCCGTGCTATATAGTTCCTAAATGTTGTCCTGAGTTTAGAAATACACAATGTTAACATGTTCTTAGCTTTTTTTTGCAAGTTATAGGGCTATAAGTACAAGAAGGGTTTCAAAATATATATTTTTACAATGTATCACTAGTGACATTGTAATACTGTTATCTGTCATAAATCTCTGAATCACATCTTACATGCACATATTTTTTTTAAAGTAGACAACCCAGGGGTATTCAATATGGGATATGTCCAGTTTTTCTAGTAGCCACTTATTCACAAACACTGGCCAAAGTTAGCGTTCATATTTGTTTGTGTGTGAAAAATGCAAAAAAACAAATTTGAACGCTAATTTTGGCCAGTGTTTGTGACTAAGTGGCTACTAAAAATTACTGGAAATACCCCATTTGCAATACCTTGGGTTGTCTACTTGTGCAAATGGTATGCCATCTTTGGGGTAATTCTCATTCCTGGGCTACCATATGAACTCAAAAGCAACGTAACCAATCTGGCGATTTTCAATGTGAAAAAACTGAAACACTAGACTTATATTTAACTCTGTAACTCTTGAAAACACTATAAAACCTGTACAGGGGGCTTACTGTTATACTCGGGAGACTTCGCTGAACACAAATATTAGTGTTTCAAAACCGCAAACTGTATAACAACAATTATATCAACAGTGTAAGTGCCGTTTGTGTGGGAAAATTGCAAAAAACGTCACTTTCACTGATGATATAATCGTTGTAATACATTTTACTGTTTTGCAACATTAATATTTGTGTTCAGCGAAGTCTTCCACGTATAACAGTACCCCCCATGTACAGGTTTTATGGTGTCTTGGAAAGTTACAGGGTTAAATACAGTGCTAGCAAATTAAATTCCCTGGACTTTCTTCCTGGGTTATCAGGCATGTCCCGTAAATTGTAATTAACACAATGACTTAATTATGTAAAAATATTGCATAAATATATACATAGAATTAAAAAACAATATATATATAAAAATAATACTATTGGTTGGCTGCACTTACGGGTATTCTAAAACGTAACTTTTATTGGAATCATTAAGAGCAGATCAACGTTTCAGTCAGAATTCTCTGCCTGAAGAAGTGGTTTTATCAGAGTCCATACAGATGTTCAAACAGCTACTAGATGCATACTTGCAAAAACAGAATATTCAAGGATATAATCTTTCAATGTAGGGTAATAACTGCTTGATCCAAGGATAAATCTGACTACCATTCTGGGGTCAAGAAGGAATTTTTTTCCTAGCTTGTTGCAAAATTGTGCTTCAAACTGGGTGTTTTGCCTTCTTTTGGATAAACAGCAAAAAACAAATGTGAGGAAGGCTGAACTTGATGGACGCAAGTCTCTTTTCAGCTATGTAACTATATGTAACTATGTAATGTTGATATTTTTATATGATATAGATTAAAAGTTATATTTTATTTTTACTATCAACAAGTCCTTGGAGTGCGGTCATTTCCAATCATTTTTATGTGTGTGTGTATGTATGTATGTATGTGTATATATATATATATATATGTAAAAAACAGATAAAATTTGTAATACCTTTTTTATTGGACTAACAGCATTTTCTAATGACAAGCTTTTGGGAGAACCTCCCTTTCTCAAGTCTGAAGCATTTCTGAGCAAGACGACACATAAAATTAATTTTATCTGTTTTTTACATCTACATCACTGGACTAATACGGCTACAATCTCTACTATATATATATATATATAATCTTATATAAAATTATTTTTATTTATACACTGAACAAAATTATAAACGCAACACTTGTTTTTACTGCCATTTTTCATGAGCTAAACTCAAAGATCTAAGACTTTCTATGTACACAAAATGCCTATTTCTGTCAATTATTGTTCACAAATCCGTCTAAATCTGTGTTAGTGAGCACTTCTCTTTTGCCGAGATAATCCATCCACCTCACAGGTGTGGCATATCAAGATGCTGGTTAGACAGCATGATTATTGCACAATAAAAGGCCACAAGTAAGTGAATAGGATGATGTGGACATGCAATGCCGTCCGTCCACGTTGAGAGCCGGGTCCCCAAGGATGGCATAGCATGCCCGCGGTCCTTAAAGGGTTAAGGTTAAACTCTTATCTGATATTTTATTTACACAGTCTCCCAATCCTCCCTCTTTGGAATAGGAGGATGTCCAAAGACTTTGTGGCAAGCACTTTCCTTCCCAACCCCTCTTTCCCCCACTAAAAGTCCCCCCAGACAAAGTGTTGCATTTTCTACAAAAAAATTGTTCAAAAGGACTCCAGTTATTCTTGCCCAACCTGCCCATCTCTAACTGCCTTCTGCATAACAGACAATTCCAGAGTCTACCATACAGAGTTTAACTATTGAATCACTCTGTATGAGACCTTGGTGTTTTGTTTGATTATTCTGGATTTAAGACCAATAGAGTGCTATGTTCTTTCAAAGACAACATATGCCAAGAAAATCACGTTATCAATTTTACAAGTTGAAAAGGGTATCTAATATATTTGGCCTTGTGATGGGGGGCACTGGTATAAATATGAGACAGTGTGTAATAAACATACTTTATTGCACTAACACATTTCAGAATTATGAAATTTCCTGTGAAAATGGAATTTATGAAAATATAACCAATAACTGTAACCAGCATTTGTGTTAAAGTGACTAGACCAGACAACTCAAAAAAATGCCATATGGAATACCCTGAGTTGCCTACTTTTAAAAATGTTATGCCATGACGGGGGTAATTTTCTTTCTTAGGCTACCACACCGCCTCAAAGGCGACATAGACCCAGAAAATAACTTTTTCTCTCAAAATTACAAGTTGCAAATAGCATCCAACATGTTTGGCTCTGTGACTTCCCTTCCCAAAAACCAGGAAAACTGGTACATGGGTTATTGTTATTCGTAAGACAATGTTAAAAAACTATACTGAGGCTTTATTGCTCATATCAGGTTTATTAAAATTAATGTGTGAAAAAACACAAAAGTAGAACCACTAAATGGGTCCTGCATTTGTGATAATGTGGGTAGACCAAAGAACTCAAAATGCACCATTTGTAATACTCTATTTTTAAAAATGGTATGTCATAATGGTGGAAATATTATTACCCCGGCTGCCACACTCTCTCAAAGACCCATAAGCTCACTTGGCCGAATTTCCAGGTATGAAGACTGAAAGTGTCATGCCCCATATTTTGCCTTGTAACTTTACAAAACCCCATCAAACGTGTACATGGGGGGTACCGTAAAACAATACAGGCCCAGCAAATCAATTTGACAAATGTGTGTAAACTGAAATGGGATTTTGATCATGTAATTTCCCAAAACCAAATAAAACGTGTACATTGGGGATACTGTTGTACTCATGAGACATCGCTGAATTAAAAAATTGGTGTTTTAGAACAGTAAGTGCATTTTTTTGTGTTAAAAATTAAAGAAAACAATAAAAACAACAACTTTGGCCATGCTTTGTGACTAGTCACTAAAAAAATACATACCCCGTTTTGAATACCCTGGGCTGTCTAGTTTTGCAAATGGAATGGTATGCCATGATGGGGTAAATTTCATTCCTGGAAGGCCATGTCACAAAGGCAACACAGGCCCAACAAACCAATCTGGCAAAGTCCGATGAGTCAAAACTGAAAAGTGCAAGCCATATATTTGACCCTATAACTTTCCAAAACACCATAAAACCTGTACATGGGGGGCATTGTTGCACTCGTGAGACATCGCTGAATACAAATATGTGTAGTGTATTGCAGTAACAGCTAACAGTATTGTGACATTCACAGTTAAAATGCCATGCAGAACTTGGAACATAACAACAGTTTGTAATATATTTTTAGATTTTATTCAGATAACATTCTGTTTTATATATCATTATTTGATGTGAAATGAAAGACCTATTTCACCCGAACAAAGTGCACTTAATATGAAAGAGGTCAATTATGGTTGAACAGACATGTAGCTCAAACTGTAGGTTTTGTTTTGGTTCAGACATTGGACAAATGCCTCTTTCCTTAAGGGTTTAAGGGTTAAATTATGCAGCGTGGGGTAGAGGTGGCATATTCAACAATGTGAGAGAACATCCAGCCCTCCCCACTTTGGTGAAGTGAAAGAACCCCTAGGTTTATGAAGGTCGCAAAACATTGAGATTAAAAAGCAGACAGTTAATTTTGTGTTTGCTTGTTCATAAAAACTTCACAAATTATTCTAAGCATTAGTAACTAATCCAGACTGGATTTCCTTTGTTATGAATACATTACTTATTGAATGCTCTATGGCGTAATTCCACAAGTGGCTTATTTATTTTCATAGTTTGACTTTAACTAGTCAGGGACATTGGTACTGAGATGAACTTGGATAAAGCTCTGTCAATGAAAACTGGCTTGCGCTAAGCTTCACATCTACCCATTGAAAGTACACTGGATGTTAATTATTGCACTAACCTTTAGATGTGAAGAGCCTGAGTATCTTTACTTTAAAGTCATTTCATGCAACGAGCAGTGTTAGAACACATTTTAAATTATATCTGTTGAACTATGTTTGGTGCTCTATAGCCGATTCCGAAGTTTGCACGTCACAGGTCCACCCCAGAGTACGATAGTCCTCTCTAAATAAATCCATAATATAGGAGCAGGCATCATAAATCTTGGATATTATTACAAATTTGAAATCGATGGGGGACACCACTTTAATTCCATATATTTTCCCTGCCTTCCACCATTTCTTATATTCATTTCACTGATCCTCCTTCCATTGAAAATATCCGTCTACTTTCCACTTACATTCTCCATATATCAGTTGATTAAAAATTTCCTTCCTCTGCCTATTTCTCAGTTTTCGCTCTTCGTTTCAGGTCCTCTTGTACCATTTAGTCCCAATCTCAATCTCCTATTTCAAAGCTCCCCCATCTCTGTGTACATATTAGCCACTAATGGAGTATTCATTGTGAAAACAGATATTCAGTTAAAAATATAATGTCCCTCTTCCAGGGCCGGCGCTACCTGTAAGGCGGACTAGGCAGCCACCTAGGGCGCCCCTTGGGAGGGGGCGCCGCCAGGAGCGCCGGCCC